CAGGAGTTTGAGACCAGCCTGGCCAACATGGTGAAACCCCATCTCTACTAAAAATATAAAAACTAGCCAGGCGTGGTGGTGGGTGCTTGTAATCCCAGCTTCTTAGGAGGCTGAGGCAGGAGAATAGCTTGAACCCAGGAGATGGAGGTTGCAGTGAGTTGACACAGTGCCACTGCACGCCAGCCTCGGTCACAGAGTGAGACTCTGTCTTAAATAAAAAATAAAAATAAAATTAATGGGAAATTAAAGTGTCTATAGCAGGGCTTCTTCACATTTATTTCTGCCATGGATCTTTTTGCTAGCCTGAAGCATCTGGATCCGATCTGAATGTTTTACTGTTTTGTTTTGTTTTATTTTTTAAATTTTTTTTGAGATAAGAGTTTCACTCTGTCACCCAGGCTAGAGTGCAGTGGCACAGTTATGACTCACTGCAGCCTCAGCCTCCTGGGCTGAAGCGATTTTCCCAACTCAGCCTCCTCAGTAGCTGGGACTATAGACACAAGCCACCATACCCAGCTGATGAGTGATATTTTAAAATGCACATGAAAATATACATAGATTCAGCATAGCAAAATATTTTTTAAAGTTGTGGAAAACAGATGTGCTTTATTGAGTCTTTATAAATAATAAGATGATACACTTAAAATGGGTGAGTTAATTTCTTTTAGGAGATTGGAGTAAAGGCTGTATACCCTCAGTACTCACATGCACATCTATGTTACGGTAGGCTCCATTGCTTTGCAGAGAGAGTAAAGAATTTTCATTTGAACTGTCCAGTTTGTCAAAACTATAATACAGATGATTCACCTCTTTTCACATGTTGATCAACAGATAATTGTTTTGGAAAGCAGCTGGATGTCTGGGATACTAGAGAATCAGAATTGTGTTTGAAAACAGCACTGTAGACGTTTCTTCCTCTAACTTTCTCTGTGCAGATAGCTGATCTGGCCAATGAAGATACTCCACAGCTGTATGTGGCTTGTGGTAGGGGACCCCGATCATCTCTGAGAGTACTAAGACATGGACTTGAGGTAAGATTGCAATTTCTAGATAATCTGCAGGGTTTGGAGGGAAGCATTGACAAAGTAGTTTATGGGTTTACTCTGATGTTGTCAAAGACATAGTTAAGGTGTCTGTGAAAAAGTATGTTCTTTCTCCCTGACTTCCCCAAAGTTTATACTTGAGATTTTCTTTCTTTTTGTCCCTGAAACAGTCTCACTGTGTTGCCCAGGCTGGTGTGCAATGACACAATCTTGGCTCACTGCAGCCTTGACCTCCTGAGCTCAAGTGATTGTCCTGCCTCAGCCTCCCAAAGTGTTGATTACAGGTGTAAGCCACTGTGCCCAGCCTGTGCTATTTTCTATTCCTTAACTTGTTAGCATGATAGCCCACGTGGTCACTAGTCATGACATGGAGGCTAGGAAATCTATATGGAACATTTCACTGTCTCTATACATCTAGTCTTAGTTAAATCAACTATGTCAATGCTATATATGTTTTTGTATCTTATTAGATTTATTCCTTATTACTATATACTGTTAAATAGCATAGTTTTTATTTATTCATTTTTTTTTTGCGATGGGGGTCCCACTCTGTGTCCCACGCTGGAATTCAGTGGTGCCATGATGGCTCACTGCAGCCTTGACCTTCCTGGGATCAGGCGATCCTCCCACCTCAGCCTCCTGAATAACTGGGGACTACAGGCATGTGCCGCAACATCCAGCTAATTTTTGTATTTTTTGTAGAGACCAGTCTCTGTCTGGTCTTGAACTCCTGGAGTCAGGCAATCTGCTTGCTTTGGCTTCCCAAAGTGCTAGGATCACAGCCTTGAGCCACCACACCTGGCCAAGTGTCATAATTTTTAGTGTTTCTGCAATATTTCACCAAAGTGGGTAGATCATAATTTATTTAGTGAATCTTTTATTGCTGGGCTTTTTAGGTAAGGTGGACACTAAAAGTTACCTTCTTGGATCCCATATTCTCTGTGTATCATAGTCCTAATGTTAATGCCTTCTAGTGAGGGCCCTGCACTTGGACTTGTTAGGAATAAAATAAAAAGCTTCCTATAACAGTTTGTTTTGAGAGCTTGGGAGTGGCAAACTGAGCTCTCAAGAGGCCTGCTACCTGTTTCTGTAAATTTTTATTGGAAGACGCCCAAGATAATCTGGGTTTTGAATTCTGGCGTTACCACTTAATAGTTATTACTAAGTTTCTGTTTCTTCTGTAAAATGGACTTAATACTGGTACCTGCCATAAAGAATTGTGTGAATTAAATGAGATGATACATACAAAGCTCTTAAGATATGGCATGAAGTGTTCAATAAATGTTAGCTGTTAACATTGCTGTTTCAGGGAATTTGAAAATGTTTTGTCTCTGCCAAAATATATCATCAGTTCACCAAAATTTCAATGACTCAGACCCAATTTAGAGCCACAGGTCTGGTGTGTGTGTGTGTGTGTTTTTTTTTTCTTGAGTGCAGTGGTGAGACCTTGCTTCAGTGTAACCTGCAACGCCCAGTCTCAAGCAAGCAGTTCTCCCGCCTTAGCTTCCCGAGTAGCTGGGACTATAGGTGTGCGCCATCACGCTTAGCTAATTTATTTATTTATTTTGGGTAGAGACAGGGTCTTGCTATGTTGCCAGGGCTGGTCTTGAACTCCTGGGCCTCAAGTGATCTTCCCACTTCACCCTCCCAAAGTGTTACGATTACAGGCGTGAGCCACCGCACCTGGCCAAGAGCCATTGCTCTTGATTCGTTAGTTACTTATTTCTCATTGGATCCTAGTGAGCATATGATGAAAGCTAGCGCTTTACACACAAAATGCATATGTGCAGCTGGGCACGGTGGCTCACGCTTGTAATTCCAGCACTTTAGGAGGCTGAAGCGGGCAGATCACCGGAGGTCAGGAGTTTGAGACCAGCCTGGCCAACGTGGTGAAACCCCTTCTCTACTAAAACTACAAAAATGAACTGGGAGTGGTGGGTTCCTGTAATCCCAGCTGCTCAGGAGACTGAGGCAGGAGAATCGCTTGAACTGGGAGGTGGAGGTTGCAGTGAGCCGAGGTCATGCCACTGCACTCCAGCCTGGGCGACAGAGCGAGACTGTCTCCAAAAAAAAGTGCATATGTGCATTTTTTTTTTTTTTTTTTTTTTTTGAGATGGAGTCTCGCTCTGTCGCCCAGGCTGGAGTGCAGTGGCCGGATCTCAGCTCACTGCAAGCTCCGCCTCCTGGGTTTACGCCATTCTCCTGCCTCAGCCTCCCAGTAGCTGGGATTACAGGCGCCCGCCACCTCGCCCGGCTAGTTTTTTGTATTTTTTAGTAGAGACGGGGTTTCACCGTGTTAGCCAGGATGGTCTCGATCTCCTGACCTTGTGATCCACCCGTCTCGGCCTCCCAAAGTGCTGGGATTACAGGCTTGAGCCACTGCGCCCGGCCGCATATGTGCATTAACAGAAAATTTTTGTACAGTGTAAGAGATAAAGGGCTCAAGAATCATCATTTTTTAGTTTCCTGGTATTTCTCTCCCCACTTCAAATCTATAGACACACCTTTGTTATGTATAAAAATATTTTCCGAGGCGGGTGGATCATGAGGTCAGGAGATCGAGACCATCTTGGCTAACACAGTGAAACCCCGTCTCTACTAAAAATACAGAAAAATTAGCTGGTTGTGGTGGCGGGCGCCTGTAGTCCCAGGTACTCAAGAGGCTGAGGCAGGAGAATGGCATGAACCTGGGAGGCAGAGCTTGCGGTGAGCAGAGATTGTGCCACTGCACTCCAGCCTGGGCGACAGAGCGAAACTCCATCTCAAAAAAAAAAAAAAATTGTTTTTAATTGTTGAACGTTGCTTTATTCCTGTATGTGTATTTGTTACACCTTGTTATCTAACTAGATTGTGGTCTCAATTGAGCCAGGGTGACTGACAGTTTTACGTTTGGTATAGAGTATAGCATAATTGACAGTTGAATTTTATTGATGAAGTTCTTAGATCTTCCTTCTAATTAAATTATACCAGTAAACTAGGAAAAGTGCTAGTCCTTCTGTGAATATACATGAGTTCTTCCTATAAGATGTAGGTTACATGCTGTATATAAGTGGCTAGTTTATTGTCTCTAGATCATTTAAAAACTTAATAATTTTAATTTTATAATGATTTTACATTTATAAAAAAATTGCAAAGACAGTAAAGTGAGTTCCTGTATAACCCACACCCAGTTTTCCCTTCTAGATCATTTTGAATTTGGCTTAGATGTTTTGTTTACTCTTATGTTTGAGAACCTATAGGACATGTAGAGAATCATTTACTCTGACTTTAAGGCACATAGAAAGACAAAACAGTTAGTGCCCTAAGAGGTGGTGACTGTGTTCTTTCTTTTTTTTTGGAGATGGAGTCTTGCTCAGTCACCCAGGCTGGAGTGCAATGGTGCAATCTCAGCTCACGGCAACTCCGCCTCCCAGGTTCAAGCGATTCTCCCGCCTCAACCTCCCAAATAGCTGAGATTACAGGCACCTGCCGTCATGCCTGGCTGATTTTTATATTTTTGCAGAGACAGGTTTCACCATGTTGGCCAGCTGGTCTAGAACTCTTGATCTCAGGCGAGCCACCCACCTTGGCCTCCCAAAGTGCTGGGATTGCAGGTGTGAGCCATTGGGCCCAGACGGTGGACTGATTTCTATGAGTGCTCATGGAAGAGAGAGGTGACTGACTGCCAGTCAAGGAGATAAAGGAATAATTTTGCTACAGGAGCTGGCATTGGAATTGATCCACATGGGATTTGGCCTTACAGGAGCTAGGGAAAGAAACGGGATGCTAATTTAGATGGCCTGATTCATTCCCAGTGGTTACTGCTGTTCTGAGGATGATCAAGGCATGTTGTACTTGAAGGAAAGGGGTATGGTTTTGGCTGCAGCAATTGTACCCTCTCAGACATCCTGTGACTTTTGCTTAAGACTGTCATGGGGATTGCCACCGTCTCCAGCCTGTTTCGTTCTTAGATTCTTCTTTCACTAGGTGGTTTCATCTTTTAAATCCAGCATACATTGTGAACCCTGCCTTTGAGACCTTATTTTTTGATGTGATTGTAAGCAGGTAGCTGAGTTGCATGCTCACTGGATCTATGGCTTCCCTCCTCTCCTGTCAGGTGTCAGAAATGGCTGTTTCTGAGCTACCCGGTAACCCCAATGCTGTCTGGACAGTGCGTCGACACATTGAAGGTAAGCAGCTCTTTCCCAGTAGTCAAAATGAGGGTCTGGGTGCCATTGACATAGAAGGCTTAAAAGGCTGTGTTCCTAATACTTGTGTATCATTTCATTTAGCACCATATACCAGAAATTTTCTGGCCCAACACCATTTTTGAGGCTCTTTCAGGATGCCTTCACCTACCATTTCTTTTTGTGCAGGTGGGAAAGAGGGGACATAGGTTGGCTGTTATATTTTAGTACATAAAGGTTTCAGTATCATAGAGCTGTCAAATGTGATGTTGACTTTATATTCATAAAGGTACTGGTTTCATCTGTAAGAGGTATGATGTGAGGGAAAGTTGTGCTTTTTTATTCTTCTTCAACTATATTCTTTTAAATTGTTTTGAAACCACAGTGAAATTCAAGGTGGTGTTCTAGGAATTAAGAGATTTGGGAAACCTTGTTAGTCAGTCTTGCTAGTGCTTAAGGAAAGCAGAGTAGAATTGAGTGGAATTAGAATTTTAGTGTGAGTGGAAGAGCGGGGATGGGAAAGGAGAAGGGAGTTTGAGCTCCTGGATGTAAATGGTCACCTGATCCTAAAACTTTGAAAGTAATAGGAGAATGCCTAGTAGTCAGTGCAATAACAGGGAAGTCTTGTGACAAGACTTGAATTGCAGCCTCATAGAAAGCTCAGTCTCATTTTTCCCTTGATTCACATTGGAGGTATGTTTTTGTCTTGTTCTCTCAGGAATATGGGATAGGTGAGTAAGATCATCCTTGCCAGCAGACAGCTTTTTCAAGAAAACAGCTGTAATTCTGCCTGATAGATATTCTGCCTGTATGAAACAGATTTAAGGAGTTGGGAAACATGTAGGAGGAAAACAACTTAGTAGAATACTCATTTTTGTGGATTTAACTTTCATTATAGGCATTTGAATCATATCCAAGTTGAGTAGAAAGGGAAAAATGTGAATAGGAAATGGGTAGGCTTATAAGCTGAAAAGATAATTATTAGGCACCTGGTTTTGTGTGTAATATCTACATAGAAGCTGGTCCGTGTTGGTGTTTTACTTTGGTTTGGTGGCTTGTTGACGTTATGGCCGTGAAAAGCATTTTCTAGACTGTTTGAATTAGAAATGTGTTTTAAGATAACCTATTGTGCTCCTTCTTTTTTCCTTTTAACTTTTTAAATAAACTTATTTTAAAACAGATTTAGGGCCGGGTGCAGTGGCTCATGCCTGTAATCCCAACACATTGGGAGGCCAAGGTGGGCGGATCGCCTGAGGTCAGAGTTTGAGACCAGTCTGGCCAACGTGGTGAAACCCCATCTCTACTAAAAATACAAAAGTTAGCTGGGTGTGGTGGTGCACGCCTGTAATCCCAGCTACTTAAGGGGCTGAGGCAGGAGAATCGCTTGAACCTGGGAGGCGGAGGTTGCAGTGAGCCGAGATCGCACCAGTGCACTCCAGCCTGGGTGAGAGAGTGAGACTCCATCTCAAAAAAAAAAAGAAAAATAAAATAGAGTTAGGTTTATAGAAAAGTTAACTCTCACTTTTATGAAGAAGACAGGAAGTTACAGGGGTTGAGTGTCTCAAGATACAGTCTGAGTAATGGGGGTAGAAAATCCTGGCTCCTGAATCTCAGTCGAATGCCCATTTTGATTAACTGCAGTGAGATTCTGTGGATCTTGGTGGTTTCTTTCAGGATAAATTTAGTTGTTTGAGTGCCCACCATGTACTCAGTAACAAAGACTCTTTGCCTCAGAGCACTTGCCATCTAAAAAACAAGACAAGTATACAGAACTGTTGTGTGTTGTGAATGTGGTGAAAGGCACAGGTACATTGCTGGGAGGGGTTAAAGGACAGGGCGTGTGTTTGAAGGTCAGGACAGGCTCTTTAGAGGGACAGCATTTGCTAAGTCAGTGATAGGCAGTTTGTTGCATTATGTAGTTGAACATTTTTCTCCTTTATTAAATGTCAGAAGTCTTGGAAAGGACTATATCCTACTAAATTTTACTCTTTAGGTACTGTAATTTGGGAGTCACCTGTAAATACAGGTCGGGTTCTCTTGGTTCACTCACTTTCCAGATACCCCCACTTACTATTGACTGAACATTCCTTCTGCCCGCACATGCTGCAGTCTTCCAGGCAAATACTAACCTTGGCTGGTACTTGGTGATGCACACTACCAATACCAAGCCTTTTTTTCTCTTCCACAGGTGGCTGGTGAAGGTGCTGATCACCACAGGTGTGTACCTACTGCTAGGGTCGATTGTGGGGTCTTATAGTTTATCCAAGGAGAGGGACCTGCACAAAATATTGAGGCTACCCTGATGGTGTCTTTCAGAGGGTAACTGCAGTTGGATGTCACTGGGCATAATAGTGCTGCACACTGTCTGCCTGTGCATCAGATGGTCTGAGGCAGGAGTCTGCCTCTCTACTTCCTCCCACAGAATTTGTCATGTATGGTTAATTTGCCTTTTACTAAGCTAAAAGAGTCTCTAGCTAGAGAACTTTAGCTTCATACTCTCTTGGAGTTGTACATTCCAGGTGTACTGACTGAAAGATCAGGACTTGGAGAAAGCTTTTGAGTATATTCAGGACTTGCTGAAGCAAGATAAGTATCAGATTCCCTTGTCTATGAAGTGAGAGTGAGTTACTGGAGCTTCAGGTATCTGGGTGGTCACTCACTTTACCTTTTGGAGTGAGCTGCTGATTGAGCCTCAAATCCTAAGGCAAGTAGAAGAGAAAAGCATTCCCTCCTCTGGGGTCCTCAGCAGTGTTCAGACAGATGGGAGCCCTGTTGAATTGAGACCTAAAGATACATTCTCATACCCTGATAGATTCTTCATTGAGGTATGAACTATTGTTTTTTCACATGAGACTTACATTCGTTAGAAAAGGGTAGTGTGGATGGTACAGTTCCTAGTCATTTACCTTGACTAAAGCTTGGCTTTGTTCTGAACTCCAACGTTTTTTTAAAAATAATTTTTTGTGGACTGGGTGTGGTGGCTCACGCCTGTAATTCCAGCACTTTGGGAGGCTGAGGTGGGCGGATCACCTGAGGTTGGGAATTTGAGACCAGCCTGACCAATATGGAGAAACCCTGTCTCTACTGAAAATACAAAATTAGCTGGGCGTGGTGGCACATGCCTGTAATCCCAGCTGCTAGAGAGGCTGAGGCAGGAGAATTGCTTGAACCTGGGAGGCGGAGGTTGTGATGAGCCAAGATCGCGCCATTGTATTCCAACCTAGGCAACCAGAGTGAAACTCTCTCCAAAAAAAAAAATAATAATAAATTTTTATAAAGTTGGGGTCTTGTTATGTTACCCAGGCTGGTCTTGAACTCCTGAACTCAAATGATCCTCCCTCCTCAACCTCCCAAAGTGCTTGAACCACCGTGCCCAGCTTGAACTCTAACTTTAATCTGCAGTCACTCTAGTACATAAGAGTTAATCTACTGCAAGTCTTCTTCACTGTAGAAGGAAGGGGGGTAGAAGTTACAGTGTGCTTGATAGTCACAGGGCAGTGTTTATTTTGAGGAAATCTGTGATGTAAAGTAGCTTTGAGACGTCGTTGACTCTCCTACTTGTTGAATTGTCTAGCAAAAGTATGACCCTATTTAAGTTCACTGAGCATTTATTCTCTTTTATGTTTGAGTAGTCTGAAGTCTTGGTCAAAGGAAAGGCACCCCTCCTCCCTTCTCTCCCATGAAAGTCAAAAGTTGTATGGTCTGTCTTTTGGAAGGTCCCTTTTTCCTTTTGGTGAAGATCCGAGACCAGGAATCCTGGCCAGTTACAGCCTTTTGTTGCTTGGCTTTAATTTGCTTTGACACAGCTTTTAAGGTTATTAGGTTTCGGTAATGAGAACACGGTAAATGATACTGTATTCATATAATGTTAAACAACTTCTGTTATTTTTACACAACAAAAATTTCTAGTATAAAAACTGAGAACTGGAGTAAAGGTTCCAAACTTGGTGTTACATGGGGATGGATTTTGGTTTCGTTGTAAGCTACTGAGCCATCCATTTCAGAGATAACCATGTCCTTACTTGTTTTATGATAGTGAGTGGTGCTTAGTCTTACAAAGCCACCTTATGAGACGTTCCCAAAGCATTTGATGTATGTTGACAGTTCTAGCAAAATAACCAAAAACCAAGTATCTTTTTGTCCAATATTATTCCTTATGATTTGGAAATTGAACCTTTACTCTGTGGATTCCTGGTCTAACCATTAGAGCAGGCCCATTGGGAAAGATCTTTAATCCTTGTTTTTCAGCCACCACAGTACGTACATATATATGTAATATTAACTGAAACAAAAATTTCACGAAACAGTAGTTATCCTACTATATATGAAGCAACTTCATAAATTACATTTATTTCTGTTAAGAAGTGCCTGTTGTGCAACACGTTAAATTGATTTTCTGTCCTGCTAATAGGGCAGAACACTACCGTTGGCCATGCCAGTGATACATATTCTTTTTTGTTTGTTTTGAGACAGTCTCATTCTGTCGCCCAGGCTGGAGTGCAGTGGGGCGATCTCAGCTCACTGCGGCCTCTGCCTCCCGGGTTCAGGCAATTCTGCTGCTCAGCCTCCCGAGTAGTTGGAATTACAGATGCCCACCACCACACCCAGCTAATTTTTGTATTTTATTTGATTTATTTTTTAGTAGAGACGGGTTTCACCCTGTCGGTCAGGCTGGTTTCAAACTTCTGACCTCAGGTGATCCGCCCACCTTGGCCTCCCAAAGTGCTGGGATTACAAGCATGAGCCATCATGCCCGGTCGAATGATAACATCTTCACTTGACTCCTGCTTCTGTAAAGAATGCTGATTCTGCAGAACTGATCTAGTAACCTTAGTTCAGCTGAATCTCATGTGAAGTCATCAGAACCAAAAGTATGCCCTTCATGTGGTTGGGTGGACCAGCCCTGTGGCATTGAGCTCTTGACAAGTGCTTAGGCAGACAGGGTCCTATAGCTCCTACTGCTAGGAGTGAGGTAGCCACTACATTGTGTGGTGCCTTGTCTTGTTCTGTCCCTTTTTTACCTGATTTCTGGGTAAGGGGGTGTTGATACAAAAATTCAAATGTAAAGGAGGAAAATCTCAACTCTTTTAAAAAATTAGCATGCCTTTAGTCAACATTTATCAAGCTTTATGCCAAACATGGTACTGGATGGGGACACTTGCAGAAGCTGTTGTATGTTGTAGGGTGAGATACATGGAAAATAGATGGCCTTGATGGGATCTGCAGAAGAAACTGAGGGTTTCTGGTATACCTCAAGTCGTCTGACTTCCTTGAGAAACTCGTTAGTGTTTATTCAACCACATTTAATTTAGAAGAAGCAAATTCTAATAGGATTGCTCACGACCACACAATTGTTCTGTTTCTAAATAGTGAAAAACCAGACAGGTCAAGGAATAACAATATAAACAATCCCCACCCCCCATTTCTTGGTTATCTAGTTTTCTTACATCATTCTCACTGGGACTAGGATTCTCAGCTTCCAACCCTAGAATGAGTTAGTGTCACAGAGGCTTAAGTAATCTCTGTTTTATTCATTAGAGCTTATGTTCATTTCTACATAAGCTTCTTTTGGAAGAAGTTAGGGGTCTTTCCTAGTTAGAAGGAGTATCTCTTCTTAGGAAGGGGTTGTGTGATTGACAACTGGCACAAATAAATGAAGCTCTAGCTCAGTATGTTCATGTATCAACATTGTAGTATTTAAAATGTCCTCATGCCTCCGATTCCCTTGCTTTGTCCCTCTCACTTCTTTAGCAGATGTCTCAAGAAAACATTGAGGAAGCAGGGTATATCTGTAGCCTCTTATGACCCCTAGTTTTCTTCTGGATCATCTTGCTCTGTGTGCGTGTGTATGTGTGTATGTGTGTGATAACTACGCATAGAAGAAGTGCCTTGGAAGGTTTCTGAAGAGAACTCTTAGTGTTTCATTTGGCTTTGTAATTCTGATGAGTTCTTATCTAACCAGCTCCCTTCTTTTCTTTTTCAGATGAGTTTGATGCCTACATCATTGTGTCTTTCGTGAATGCCACCCTGGTGTTGTCCATTGGAGAGACTGTAGAAGAAGTGACTGACTCTGGGTTCCTGGGGACCACCCCGACCTTGTCCTGCTCCTTATTAGGAGATGATGCCTTGGTGCAGGTGAGGGTTCTCAGAGCTTACCTACTTGGCCTGCTTTGTTCTTTCTTGGCCTTCATTGTGATGTGGCTGCTGTGTTCATGTCTCTTCACTCTCACCTTCCAGTAAGCCTTAGGGACGGAGCTTATGATTTTGGCACATAACATCCCCCTCTATTTGCCATTTTTCTGTTACAGAGCCACATCACTGCAGCTTTCATCTCTAGTAAAGATCTTTGTAAGTGTTTTGTTAATAAGCTTTGAACTTCCTTGAAGTGGACACCGCAAAACATTAACTATTTAAAAGTTGACCTTGCCTGGGGCCTGCTAACTCTTTTGTCATTGATTCAACTGGTGCCTCAAATGCAGTGGCCCTACATCTGATTGTAGTGACAGATCTGATAGATGTGAGGGTCATTCTGAGTGATGAATCAAATTGTTAAAGTCAGGTTTCTTTCTGTTACTGACTCTAGGTCTATCCAGATGGCATTCGGCACATACGAGCAGACAAGAGAGTCAATGAGTGGAAGACCCCTGGAAAGAAAACAATTGTGAAGTGTGCAGTGAACCAGCGACAAGTGGTGATTGCCCTGACGGGAGGAGAGTTGGTCTATTTCGAGATGGATCCCGTATGTTATTTTATCATTCACTGTGGGACTTAGTGTAGGGTCCAGAGGGAAGGATGGGCATTGTAATCTAGTCATTTAGATGACAGTATGGTGAAACCCTGTCTCTACTAACAATACAAAAATTAATGGGCCTGGTGACACACACCTGTAGTCCTAGCTACTCAGGAGGCTAAGGCAGGAGAATTGCTTGAACCTGGGAGGCGGAGGTTGCAGTGAGCTGAGATCATGCCACTGCACTCCAGCCTGGCAACAGAGCGAGACTCCATCTCAAAAAAAGAGAAAAACGAGTTGGAGTGACAGTGTTCACAAACCAATTTGGCCCTTTACAGAGATGGGGAAAAAGGGTAAGTTGATGTCTGATTCTGGGTAGTGTTATGAATTCCCCTGTTAGCAATGAAACACTTGCTCCTCCTGCATTTCACTTCCTACTTTTCCAACAAATATTTGGCATAGAATTGATTTCTGCAGTCTGATTCCATTTCAGAAAACTTCTATATGGAAGAATGTTCAGTACACATAATTACCTTACTCTCAGGAGGGCTCTAGTGTGGCCAGATTTGTAGCCTGACTGTACCTTTGGTTGAGATGTCTTTGTCTTCAACCATATTTGAATTCCCTTCACCCAAAGTATTCTTGTAAACACATAAACAGTTTTATATATCTCCATTTCCTGAGAGCAAAGTTGGCTAAGAAAATTTGTGGCACATTGACCTTGTTCATTCTCTTATTGATGGAAGATACTCATTTTGCTTGCTGTGAGCCTATTAAATTCAGTCTTGAGAACTCAGGTAGAGAAATTCTTGTCATTGATTATAGTAAGAGGAGTGAGAGTATGCAAAACAAAATACAACAGCCGTCCTTCATTCTCTGGATCCAGGGTTTTGGGGTGAATTGGAGCATATAGACCCACCCCTTTGTAGTTTTGACCTCGCTCTGTCTTTCCTCTTATAGTCAGGACAGCTGAATGAGTACACAGAACGGAAGGAGATGTCGGCAGATGTGGTGTGCATGAGTCTGGCCAATGTACCCCCTGGAGAGCAGCGGTCTCGCTTCCTGGCTGTGGGGCTTGTGGACAACACTGTCAGAATCATCTCCCTGGACCCCTCAGTGAGTGACACTCTGAGCTTCAAGGATCATCTGGTTGGAACCTGAGCGTCTGGCCCACTCCTGATGTCCATCTCTGAGATCAACTGGGTTAGACCCCAGAATCCATACCTGCTACTTCTCTTGTCATTGCAGTGTGTTCCAGGAGTTTCCTGCTGTGGTTTAAGGATATGATCTGAGACTACAGAAATGTTTCTTTGACTTAAACCTCAACTCCCTTTTTTTAGTTAAAAACCGAGACTGCATAAATTTGACTTGCTGCAGGACCCTAGATGACTTTTCGGGAGGTGTGCTTTGCTTAATTACCTTTACCATTATCTTCTTTGACACAAGGAGAAAAGCATGATCTTCCTGAAGCTTATTCTGAGATTGGGTATAACTAATAACCCAATACTCTCTTAGAACTCACTCCCGGGGCTTTTTCTGTGCATAAGGAAGTACTTTTTCAATCCTAGAATTAGATTTCTCTGGGTATGTTTTTGTCCTAAAATTGTCATTTTCTGTGTTTTTATGATTTTTCTCTCCTTCTCAGGACTGTTTGCAACCTCTAAGCATGCAGGCTCTCCCAGCCCAGCCTGAGTCCTTGTGTATCGTGGAAATGGGTGGGACGGAGAAGCAGGATGAGCTGGGTGAGAGGGGCTCGATTGGCTTCCTATACCTGAATATCGGGCTACAGGTAAGAGATCCAGAGGCCCGCATTGTGGACATCAGGCCTTCTGTAGGTTTCACACACTCCTTTGTTTGGTAACAGGCGTTTCCTCTGCCCGTGGTTTCAGATCCTCACCTATGAAAATTAAACAGTGTCACTCTGGGTTCCACTTTTCTCAGCTCTTTAATTTGAACAAATCAGGCTGGGAAAGAAATATTTTGATCAAGTGCTTTTTGATAGCTACTCTAAGTCAGAACTGGCTGGGTTCCTCAAGGATCAACTAGTTCCCACTATTCATTAGTTTCAGAAACAGAAACAAATACCTCTCAGTTCATCATTGTCTTCATTTAGCAATAAAGGACCCCTAAATGTTCTCCGTTGTCAAAGTTGCTGAGCTCTTTGTGCGGAAAAAAAAGCACTCTTTGTGCTTTGACCCTAAGAGTGTCAGGATTTTTGATCATACGCTTTTCATTTTCCTTAATGATTATTGACTCAGACATCTAAGTAATCTAGCCCAGGTACTTTTTGCTTTTTAATTTTACTTCCTAATGTAGAAATCTCAAACATAGCCAGAAGTTAGACTAATACAATGAACTTCCATGTACCCCATTTTTGGGGGGGAGGGTTGTTATTATTTTTCTTTTTTAGTTTTATTTTGTTGGGTTTTTATGGGCTGCCACATGAGTTTTCTATCTTTTTTAGTTTTAACAGCTATCAACAACATTCTGCTGTTGTTGTTTTGTCTTTTCCCTGGACTATTTTAAAGCAAATCCAAGATCTATCATTTCATCTATAAATACTTGATAATGTAGCTCCAACAGATGTCTATTTTTGTAAGATATTAGTATTATGCTCAGCAAAATATAACAATAGTTCCTTATTACCATGTTCCAGTTTTCCCTGTTCTTCTTTCCCCCAATGTGTCTTTATAGTTGGTTGTCCTCAGGATCTCAGCATAGCAGTCTATGCTTTTTCCATTTGCTTCATCTGTCTTTTTATGTCTCTTAAACTGTCCTACCCCATTTTGAAGCATTACAAGATAAGATCATTTGTCTTGTAGCATTTCCTACCTTCTGGACTTTAAAGTCATTCCTTGTGTGTTCAATGTTCCCGTATCCTCTGTATCAAGCTGGTGGGTAGAGTATTAGACCATGCCGTCCCTTAGAAATGTAAGGTGAGCTACAGGTGTAATTTAAATTTTAGTAATTCTTTTTTTTTTTTTTTTTTTTTGAGACGGAGTCTCGCTCTGTCACCCAGGCTGGAGTGCAGTGACCAGATCTCAGCTCACTGCAAGCTCCGCCTCCCGGGTTTACGCCATTCTCCTGCCTCAGCCTCCCGAGTAGCTGGGACTGCAGGCGCCTGCCACCTCGCCCGGCTAGTTCTTTGTATTTTTTAGTAGAGACGGGGTTTCACGGGGTTAGCCAGGATGGTCTCGATCTCCTGACCTTGTGATCTGCCCGTCTCGGCCTCCCAAAGTGCTGGGATTACAGGCTTGAGCTACCGCGCCCAGCCAGGAAAAAAGTAATTTTAATGTTTTTTTTTTTCCTTTTAAAAAAAAAGCAGAGACAGGGTCTCGCTGTGTTGCTCAGGCTGGCCTTCTCTTGAACTCCTGGCCTCAAGCAATCCTCCTACACTGGCCTCCAAAAGTGCTAGTGGGAATGCAGGCATGAACCACTGTGCCTGGCCAGTTTTGATGTTTTATTAACTCTGTATATCTAAAATCATTCCAACATGTAGTTAATATAAAAATTGCTGAGCTATTTTACCTTTTTTTCTCTCTTTTTTTTTTAAACTAAGTCTGAAATCTGGTATTTGGCACTTTATACTTAACGTCTTAGTTCTCTTTAAAATTTATTTTTATTAAAAAAATAATTTCTTCCTTGAGACAGAGTCTTACTCCATTGCCCAGGCTGGAGTGCAGTGGTGTGATCTCAGCTCACTGCAGCCTCTGCCTCCTGGGTTCAAGCGATTCTCATGCCTGAGTCTCTTGAGTAGCCGGGATTATGGTGTGCACCACTACTCCTGGCTAATTTTTCTTGTGTCTAGTAGAGATGGGGTTTTACCATGTTGCTCAGGCTGATCTTGACCTCCTGAGCTCAAGCGATCCACCCGCCTTGGCCTCCCAAAGGGCTGGGATTACAGGTGTGAGAAACCACGCCGGGTCCTGTCTCAGTTCTGACTAGCCACATGTGGCTTGGGGTAGCTATAGTATCGGATATTGCAGAAGAAGAAAGTTGGTTAGATTCAGATTTCATTATTAGGGGAGGGGGACAGGAATATAGGTGGTGCTGTTTACTCCTGTTGCATCATGTCAGGAGGTGTGTAATGTCTGGTTGTCCTACTCACAGTGATGTTGGGATGTTTATCTGTATCTGTGTTAAAGTTCCCATCAACCTTTTACTTACAGCTATTACACACGTTGCCTAGGTTCATTCTTTCTTTAGTAGTTGGAAAATGATTTATTTCTTTTGGGATTTAATTAGTTGGAGTTCTAAAGACAAAATTTGCCTCATTTCTTTGCTTACTCTCAGTTCATACAGGAAAAGGAAAAGTACTTTTTTTCCCATTGTTCACCTGTTTTCAGGGTAAGGAGTGAGAGCCACAGCACTCCCTTCAGTGGGGACCCGTAAAGTGGGTTTGTTGCTGTTTTTTATAGTAACACTGGTCAGGTGCTGTAATCCCAGCACTTTGAGAGGCTGAGGTGGGTGGATCGCTTGAGCTTAGCTCCTTGGGAAGCTGAGGTGGGAGGATTGCTTGAGCCTGGGAGGTGGAGGCTGCAGTGAGCCAAGATTGTGCCACTGTACTCCAGCCTGGGTGACAGTGAGACCCTGTCTCAAGAAATAAAAATTAAAAAAAAATAGAGTAACATCATAAACTTGTGGATTTTTATGCATTTGTGCTTAAAACTCCTCTTTTTTTTTTTTAAACAGAGACAGAGTCTCACTATGTTGGCCAGATTGTTCTTGAGCTCTTGGCCTCAAGCAGTCATCCTTCCTTGGCCTTCCACAGTGCTGTGATTACAGATGTGAGCCACCTCACCTGGCTTTTTTTTGAGGGGGGTAAGGGTTGGTAAATTGCCTCATTCTAGAAGAGTGGGAATTTCTATTTGAAGTTAGTTCCTTTGTCCTTTTAACATGACCCCACAATTTGTAGGGGTTTCCTTGCCTTGTTGCACAAGAAAGTGTCCCCACATAACATTCTTGCCCCAGCCCCAAACTAGTCATTCCTTTTAGGAACCTTGTTCCTTTAAGAAGAAGTGCTGTTTAGGAACCATGGTCTTTGTGGTTATTTAATTATTTATTTGAAATATACAATAGTGAAGAAGGACTTAACATACATGGTAAAAAGAAATATTAAGAAGATATAGTGAAAAATAAGTGTGTTTTTACTTAGTAGATGCTCCATAATTTTGAATGATTAAGTGATTTAGTGAGAGAATGAATGAATGGCTATCTGATTGTTAGGATCTTTTTTAAACAACCAAGTCATTTCTTTCCATCTGCTCTAATTTCTTATATGAAGTAGCCAAGGGAGAGATTTTCCTGTCATAGCTGATAAGCTTCCATCAGGCTTCACCTGCTCCTCCCCTTCTTTTGATTAGAACGGTGTGCTGCTGAGGACTGTCCTGGACCCTGTCACTGGGGATTTGTCTGACACTCGCACTCGGTACCTGGGGTCTCGTCCTGTGAAGCTGTTCCGAGTCCGAATGCAAGGCCAGGAGGCAGTAAGTAATGAAGGTTGGGGACAGGCAACATGTTTGGGATTTTAGTGGCACCATCTGAGAACAATCTTTGTTGTAAGCTTTACTTTTACTCATTTGCCACTCCATCTTGATTGGTTTCCTTCATGTGGGAAGTCCTGAGTTTCCTAACCTAGAGCTTCCTCATTGGGGCTCCATGGCACTGTGTCATGATTTGGTTATAGTTGGGTTGAGATATCGATCCCTTTAGCCCTCTGGCTGGTCAAATAGGGCTGGAAACCTCCCCTCTAGGACACCACTAGCCATGAGAATTCTCAGGTTTTATCCCAGTCTTAGATCAGTGTCAAGTTTACTACCTAATGTGAAAGAGATTAGGAAACATTGTATCCTTTATAGTTAAGAATGTTAATGTTTCTGGGCACTGTGCTAACTGATTCCATTTAATTCTTTTTTTTTTTTTTTTGAAATGGAGTCTCACTCTATCTCCCAGGCTGGAATGCAATGGTGCAAGCGTGGCTCACTGCAACCTCCGCCTCCTGGGTTCAAGCGATTCTCTTGCCTCAGCCTCCCGAGTAGCTGGGATTACAGGCGCATGCCACCAGGCCCAGCTAATTTTTGTATTTTTAGTAGAGATGGGGTTTCACTATGTTGGCCAAGTTGGTCTCGAACTCCTGACTTCAGGTGATCTGCCCGCCTTGGCCTCCCAAAGTGCTGGGATTATAGGCATGAGCCACCACACCTGGCCTTCATTCCATTTAATTCTTGCAGCTGCCCAGCCTTGTGGTACTATTTTCATTTTATACGCGTGGAAGCAGGCTTTGAGAGATGAAGTGATTAGTCTAGATCATATGGCTCGTAGCCCATGCTTTTCACATATGCTAAGCCATGGTGCCTCTCTCTAGCCCTCTTTTTCTTAAGATAGCCTGTTAGATTTCTAGAATATCTTAGGATACTCTGCAGACTGAAATTTGGGGATAGGGCTTTTGGTCACCTTACCATGTTTGTATTTTTTCCCAAACCTTATTGGAGCTGTTTTTTTTTCCCCTCAGGTATTGGCCATGTCAAGCCGCTCATGGTTGAGCTATTCTTACCAATCTCGCTTCCATCTCACCCCCCTGTCTTACGAGACACTGGAATTTGCATCGGGTTTTGCCTCAGAACAGTGTCCCGAGGGCATTGTGGCCATCTCCACCAACACCCTGCGGTGAGTGAGTGAGTGAAGCTCAGCAGTAAGCCTTTCTGCCAAGGGCTCAGACTGGTTCTGCCAGAGTGTTGGAGGAGGCTCTGAAGAGGTGGCAGAGAGCTGACTTTACCATGAAGCTTGTGTGTTGCAATTGAAACCTTCATTTGGCTCAGCATTTTAGTACCTGAGAGCCAAGTTTCGGTGTTTTAGCTTCTGTTAAGACTTTCAAGGCAAAGCTTTAATACAGTCCAATCTTCCTGAGATTTCAGATTTTTGTTTTCTAGCGAAAGGGCATTGCCATTGGATTAGTTTTAGAGCAAGTATTGGATCACTACATTGATAACCTTTCTTACTCTGTCTTGCCATTTGTGGTATTAAATCTTAAATTTTAACATACACGAAAAAAGTTGACAGAACTGTTCTTCCTGATAATATTGATGTGAAGTTTGAGCACTATATGTAATATTGCTTGCAAGATGGAAAAGAACCTAAAATAACCCAGTCAGTTTGGCTTCCTCAAGTTTTTGGGGGTTTTAAAATTAAGCCACCAAAGTTGTTCACATCCTGATTATAATTATTGGCTGTTCATAATGAAACTGTGGCCTCTTGATAGATTAATCACTATTGCTTATCAAATGAGCTCTCAAAATTTCTTTGCAGCAACTTTCAGCGTCTTTTCATGGCCATTGTCCTTTTTCTTTCTGTCATCTTTGTATTTATCTTCTGCTCTAGCAGAATTGATCTCCCTGCACTCCTCTACACCACTTAATATTTTTTAAATCTCTGCCTGTGCTGGAATGCTTCACCCACATGCATACCTGCCTGTCAGTGTTCCCCTTGTCTTTTAAGTCAGCCTTGTATCCTCATCTGTGGTCCCTACCTCCTGAATTCCTATAGATTTAGATGATCCCTACAGATTTTTAGGCTTTCCTAGGAGCAGAACTTACTTCCCCCCAAAACTAAATCAGGGAAGATGACTGAGACATAAAAGCATAGTGCTTGGGGGCAGTTCATTTTTTAAATTATTTTTATTTTTAAATTTATTTTTTTGAGACAAAGTCTTGCTCTGTTGTTCAGGTTGGAGTGCAGTGGTGTGATCATGGCTCCCTGCAGCCCCAACTTCCTGGACTCAAGCTATTTCTGCCTCAACCTCCCAAGTACCTGGTGGGACTATAAGCGCATGCCATCATGCCCGGCTAATTTTTGTGGTTTTTTTAAATAGAGACAGGATTTTACCTTGGTGCCCAGGCTGGTCTTGAGCTCCTGAACTCAAGAGATTCTCCCACCTCAGCCTCTCAAGTAGCTGGGACTGCAGGTGCGTGCCACCATACTCAGCTTTTTTTGGGTATTTTCAATAGAGTTGGTGTTTCCCCATGTTTCCCAGGCTGGTCTTGAACTCCTAGCCTTAGGTGATCTGCCCGCTTCGGCCTCCCAAAGTGCTGAGATTACAGTCGTGAGCCACTGTGCTCAGCTCGTATCTTTTTTAATGTAGAGAATAAACTACAAATAAAACTCCATCATTAGAGATCAGGTAACTATATTTTTTAGGGTACCTGGGTTCTGCCCGTTTTGCACATAGTTTGGCTTATGTGTGCATCTCTGTCCAATTTGACAGAAATTTGTAGGTCCCCTATTTGCTGTCTCTTGCATTGTCAAAGTTTTCCAAAACTGAGGTGATTTTTGTTCACAAAGGCGTCCACTTTATTTTATAAAGCACAGTCACTACAGATACCATATATGTTCAGGTAATTGCAGTGTTCACGACAAATTTGGGATTGGCCGCTTTATTATCGTAAGAGTGATTAAAAAAAAGTCTTGACAATCGTTTGTGTTTCATTGGTGAGAACTAGAATTGCCATGAATTGTGGTAGGGTGTTGCCAAATGGGAAGGGCCTTCCCGGATCTCTCTGTCTGCAGTGCAGTTTTCTAGATTAGGAGGCTGTTGTTTAATGTTGCCTAATGCCAGCGTTAGAGCTTCAGGGATTGATGTGTTTACTGACTGCTCAAAGCCTATTTCACCACCAATTTCTAGGTCCTGAGTGAGTATTAAATAACTGTCTTGCTTTTCTGTCATAGCATTTTGGCATTAGAGAAGCTCGGTGCTGTCTTCAATCAAGTAGCCTTCCCACTGCAGTACACACCCAGGAAATTTGTCATCCACCCTGAGAGTAACAACCTTATTATCATTGAAACGGACCACAATGCCTACACTGAGGCCACAAAAGCTCAGAGAAAGCAGCAGATGGCAGAGGTAATGAGACTAACGTTCAGGGGTTCTGTTAAAAGATTTGTGAAATTATGTTGAAAAGTTTAAACTGCTCAGCACTTTGGGAGGCTGAGATGGGAGGATTGCTAGTTTGAGACCAGCCTGGGCAACATAGCAAAACCGCACCTCTATTAAAAATTTTGAAAGATAGCCTGGTGTGTTGGTGCACTCCTGGTATGTTGGCACACTCCACTGCATACCAGTGGCACTCTGGACATGAGACTCTGTCAAAAGTTTAAACTCCTGTAATTGTTGTTATATTCTTTGTTTTTAAAGATCTAGGCTCTTTTCAGCTTCTTTAAGCAGAGGCCTTTGCCCCAAAATACTTCATGTTAGAGCCTTTCTTGTAACCCAGGACTATACTCTGACCTCCATTTATTCACAATTAAGTTCCCTCTCTGAAACAGAATTCTCCAGTCTTTGAGCTTCCAAAATAGACTGTATTTCCTGGATTTGGGCCCAAAGGAGACAGCTTTCATGTTCTCCACAATACCAGCTCTTTCTAGAACTCATTGCCTAGCAAAAACCAAATAGCTACAACCACATAGAACTGTATCCAGCCTTAAAGAGTGGAGACAGAGTAGTCTTAGTAGGGGAAATCAGATGGGTTGGATAAAAAAATGGAGTTTCTGGCCGGGCGCGGTGGCTCAAGCCTGTAATCCCAGCACTTTGGGAGGCCGAGACGGGCAGATCACGAGGTCAAGAGATCGAGACCATCCTGGCTAACACGGGTGAAAACCTGTCTCTACTAAAAAATACAAAAAAAAAACTATCTGGGTGAGGTGGCGGGCGCCTGTAGTCCCAGCTACACGGGAGGCTGAGGCAGGAGAATGGCGTGAACCCGGGAGGCGGAGCTTGCAGTGAGCTGAGATCCGGCCACTGCACTCCAGCCTGGGCAACAGAGCGAGACTCCGTCTCAAAAAAAAAAAAAGAAAAAACCCCTTGGAGTGTTCTTGCTACCTATCCTCTTCTCAGCCAGCCCCTACCTCTGAACATGCCAACTCAGTTGTTTGGTTTTTTGGGTTTAGGAAATGGTGGAAGCAGCAGGGGAGGATGAGCGGGAGCTGGCCGCAGAGATGGCAGCAGCATTCCTCAATGAAAACCTCCCTGAATCCATCTTTGGAGCTCCCAAGGCTGGCAATGGGCAGTGGGCCTCTGTGATCCGAGTGATGAATCCCATTCAGGGGAACACACTGGACCTTGTCCAGCTGGAACAGAATGAGGCAGCTTTTAGGTAAGGAGTCCAGGACAGTTCAGGGTTTGGTAGCCTGGAACAGGAGCTCTCTGGGTTTTGACGAAGGCCTTACTCTTGCTTCTTACTCTGTGTGTAGTGTGGCTGTGTGCAGGTTCTCCAACACTGGTGAAGACTGGTATGTGCTGGTGGGTGTGGCCAAGGACCTGATACTGAACCCCCGATCTGTGGCGGGGGGCTTCGTCTATACTTACAAGCTTGTGAACAATGGGGAAAAACTGGAGTTTTTGCACAAGGTAGGAATCAGCCAGTGAGTGGTTCTCCTAGATCTTAAGTCCTATTGAATTCTGTTACTTTTGCTTATGTTATGGGTCAGGTCTTTTGGGGACCAGCTCCTTGATTCCAATCCATCTCTTACCAGCACATGGAAAATCCTGGGGACTTCTAGCTGCGGTGATGCTCTTGTGCCTGTGCATTCCACAGTAAGGCTTTGTGCTAACCACCCATAATGGGGAGATGGATGCACATTGAATCAGTCCCTTTCTTACTGTTTTAATAAGCGGGCAACAATTTGTGACCAAAATTCAGCAGTTTAAATAATTAATATTCTGGCTGTGTGCGGTGGCTCACACCTGTAATCCCAGCACTTTGGGACCAGCCCAACCAACATGATGAAAGCCCGTCTCTACTAAAAATATAAAAATCAGCCAGGCATGGTGGCATGTACCTGTTATCCCAGCTACTTGGGAGGCTGAGGCAGGAGAATCACTTGAACCCAGGAGGTGGAGGTTGCAGTGAGCTGAGATTGTGACATTGCACTCTAGCCTGGGTGGCAGAGTGAGACTGTCAAAAAAAAAAAAAAGATTTAGCGTTCTTTTCCATCTGCCTTCTCTGGGAAGTTACTGTTTAATGGGTACAGAGTTTCAGTTTGGGAAGATGAAAAAAAAGCTGGAGATGATAGTTACACAACAGTAAATGTGCTTAATGCCACTGAAGTGTATACTTAAAAATGACTGGGCATGGTGACTCATTCCTGTAATCCCAGCACTTTGGAAGGCCGAGGTGGGCGGATCACCTGAGGTCAGGGGTTCAAGACCAGTCTGGTCAACGTGGTGAAATCCCATCGCTATTAAAAATAAAAAATCAACCAGGCATGGTGGTGGGCGCCTGTAACCCCAGCTACTCCAGAGGTTAAGGCAGGAGAATTGCTTGAACCTGGGAGGCAGAGGTTGTACTGTGCTGAGATTGCGCCACTGCACTGCAGCCTGGGCGACAGAGTGAGACTCTGTCTCAAAAAAAAAAAAAAAAAAAAAAAAAGGATTAAGATGGTAAACTTTATGTTATGTCTGTTTTACCATAATTATTAAAATAAAAATAATATTGTCCTCCACACTGACAGCATGTGGATTCCTTCAACCCTACCATAAGGGGAGTATCCTCTAAGAAATACTTCATAGACCCTTTTGCGTATAAAATTTGTCTCTCCTTTACAACTGAGATGTCACTAGGCTGGGTGCAGTGGCTCACGCTTGTAATCCCAGCATTTTGGGAGTCTGAGTCGAGCAGATCACTTGAGCCCAAGAGTTTGAGACCAGCCTGGACAATGTGGTGAAACTCAGTTTCTACAGAAAATACAGATAATTAGTTGGGCGTGATGGCACATGCCTGTAGTCCCAGCTACTCGGGAGGCTGAGGTGGGAGGATCACCTGAGCCCAGGAAGTCCAGGCTATAGTGAGCCGTGATTACGCCTGCCACAGCCCTCCAGCTTGAGCGACAGTGAGACCCTGTCTCAAAAAAAAAAAAAAAAATGTCATTTTCCACTAGCATTTCTTTCCTGTCCCTCCACAAATTACAGTCACTTCTTAGCTACTAAGGCTTCACTATTATTTCATGAGGCCAGTTAAACCAAGCACAGGCTCTGGGCAGCTGTCATCAGGTACCAGAACTTCCTGTCACTTGTAGCATTGATCCCTCTGCTGGGTGAATGCAGCATGTGGGACCTGTTCACCCCAACACGCTGATTCATTAGCAAAATAAGATCACTGGTGTGTTTCTTAATGACAGGCTCCTGTGAAAGAAGACATTTCTAGGCGGAGAGGTGGGGCCTGTGTCTGGCTGGCATTTGTAATAGCTGTATTACGTGCTTTTCCTCTATAGACTCCGGTGGAAGAGGTCCCTGCTGCCATTGCTCCATTCCAAGGGAGGGTGTTGATTGGTGTGGGGAAGCTGTTGCGTGTCTATGACCTGGGAAAGAAGAAGTTACTCCGAAAATGTGAGAATAAGGTAAGTGTGCTGTGGTTGGTGCTGAGATCTAGCTCACATGTCAAGGGCGGGGGCATTGGTGGGGTGGTGGGCATTGAGTTTTAAAATCTTATCTTTATTAGGACTAGTGTTACCCCAATTCCAGCTTCAGAATTATGCCCTTTTTTTTTTTTTTGAGATGGAGTCTCGCCCTGTTTCCCAGGCTGGAGTGCAGTGGTGCAATCTCGGCTCACTGCAGCCTCCGCCTCCCGGGTTCAAGTGATTCTCCTGCCTCAGCTTCCCAAGTAGCTGGGACTACAGATGCACGCTGCCACGCCTGGCTAATTTTTTGTATCTTTAGTAGAGACAGGGTTTTACCATGTTGGCCAGGCTGGTCTCTTAACTCCTGACCTCATGATCCGCCCGCCTTGGCCTCCCAAAGTCCTGGGTTTACAGGCGTGAGCCACCGCACCAGCCCTTGAGTTTTGAGAGGAGCAGGAGTAGAGGATTCTCATTTCTTGACTTACCAAACAAGAATCAGCTTTCTATTTTGCTAGCTTCTGTAAGGAATGTAACTCTGAGAGTTAGGCATATATTTGCACTATATTAAAAGCTATTTGGCTCTTTTTCCCACCTAGAATTCATTGCTAACTGCTGTTTTTTGGTATTTGCTGTTCTGCTGACCCTATATATGTCATATGGAAAGCTGGACTTTCTTTGGGTTCTGAACCCCAAGATTACACCCACTATTGTCCTTGTTTTCCCCAGCATATTGCCAATTATATCTCTGGGATCCAGACTATTGGACATAGGGTCATTGTATCTGACGTCCAAGAAAGTTTCATCTGGGTTCGCTACAAGCGTAATGAAAACCAGCTTATCATCTTTGCTGATGACACCTACCCTCGATGGGTCACTACAGCCAGCCTCCTGGACTATGACACTGTTGCTGGGGCAGACAAGTTTGGCAACATATGTGTGGTGAGTTGATGTTGTTCACTTGGGTTACAGTGATGTGTAGGAAAGCTGGCTCGGTTTGTTGTGGGTAAAGCCAAAGATGAATCAATTCTGAGGAGTAAAAATGGATATAAAATTCCATCCTACTAAAGCTAACTCTACAGGCAATCTGTTCTTTAAGCCTTCTTACTAGTCTTGGATTTTTCTCTGGTTTATCGCTCTCCTCTCTATTGAACATGATTTAATGATAGGTTTAGTTTGAGCTAATGGCTAATATTTCTTTTTACGTTTTATAAGAACTTTGGAATGTCTGTTGTCTGTGTTGTGTGGTTTTGGTATTATCCTTAGCCGTGTTAAACTCCTGCTCATGGGTCGATTCTTTTGAGTTTCTTGCTCCTCAGACATAGCTCCTGCCCACCAGAGCAGGTGCAGGACACACGGGCTCAGGCCTCTGTCTAGACAGTGCCCCTATGGCTGACTTGCAAGGACCTGGGCCAGACCTGTTGCTTGGCGACCCAGGTGAGCAGGTCTGGGCCCCAGCACTGTGACTTGTGTCACTTCCTTGTAGGTGAGGCTCCCACCTAACACCAATGATGAAGTAGATGAGGACCCTACAGGAAACAAAGCCCTGTGGGACCGTGGCTTGCTCAATGGGGCCTCCCAGAAGGTAAGATTGCAGAATGGGCCCCAGGGAGGGCGCTGCTTAGCACTTCTCCTGTTGCCGTCACTGGAGAAATTGCCTTTGGTGAATTATTCACAGTGCACACGACTGTGCTGAGTGCTGTCCTTCCACAGTCCTTTCTTACCAATCTGCAGAAATCTCCTTGGAGAGTAGCAAGTTCCTTCGAGAGAGTCCATTCCTAGTCCTCTGCTCTGAGGTGTGTCCAGGGCTTTACTTTCTCCTATAGGTATATGCTGCTCTAACAGAGGCTCTCTGGACTTTCTATTTTAGAAGACAAGCCTAGTGATTGCTGTTTTCTATAATTTTCTTTGTGTTTTCCTTTTTTTTTTTATGGCAAGCTTGATAAATTTAACAAAATGGTTCTTATCGTTTAAGAGATGATGAACAATAACTTTAGCATGTTTTATGAGGCATTAAGCCTTAAGTAAATGTGAGAATTTTAAAGTATTTTTAGGTTTTAATAATTTTTGGATTTATTGTTTGTTTTTGAGACAAGGTGTCACTTGGTCGCCTGGGCTGTAGTATGATGGTACGATCACAGATCACTGCAGCTTCCACCTCCTGGGCTCAAGTGATCCTTCCCCCTCAGCCTCCTGAGTAGCTGGGACTAGAGTACATGCCACCAAACCTGACAAATTTTGTGGGTATGGGTTTATGAGGCCTCACTGTGTTGCCCAGGCTGGTCTTGAAATCCTGGGCTCAAGCAATCCTCCCACAGTTGGCCTCTATAATAGTTTTTGGATGTTAATAGATGGTGAAATGTGCCTTAGGGAGCACTGCATGCTCTCGGGAGTCCAGGGAGGCTCCTGAGGGCGCACACAGTCACTAGTCTGTTTCTGACTCACAGGCAGAGGTGATCATGAACTACCATGTCGGAGAGACAGTGCTGTCCTTACAGAAGACTACGCTGATCCCCGGAGGCTCAGAATCACTTGTCTATACCACCTTGTCTGGAGGAATTGGCATCCTTGTGCCATTCACGTCCCATGAGGTGAGAGCACCCACATTACTCTGGCCTTGACTTTTAAGGTTGTTTCTTGGTGTTGAATCTACCTAACAGGTCAAATTCATTTGGCCCCACATATAATTAATAATGCTCTGGGAATTATAGACTGACGGAAGTACTTGGGGAGATAGGAATCTTGATTCCCCCCCACCCAGGGAAGGCCCATTTGTTGTTGTTGTTGTTGTTTTTGTTTATTTTTTTTGAGGGGGGGATGGAGTCTCCTGTCACCCAGGCTGGAGTGCAGTGGCACAATCTCGGCTCATTGCAAACTCTGCCTCCCAGGTTCACACCATTCTCCTGCCTCAGCCTCCCAAGTAACTGGGACTACAGGCGCCCGCCACCACACCTGGCTAATTTTTTGTATTTTTAGTAGAGACAGGGTTTCACCATGTTAGCTAGGATGGTCTCGATTTCCTGACCTCGTGATCCGCCTGCCTTGGCCTTCCAGAGTGCTGGGATTACAGGCGTGAGCCACTGCGCCCGGGCAGGCCATTTGTTTTTATACTGTACTAGGGTTTGCTTCAGTCTGATGCGAGTTTACAAGGTTAGCCTGAGCCCAAAGCTCTAGAACCATACTCCACATACTAGGATTGCCAGGATTGGTGGGATGATCCCTGTTGGGGCACACATCACCAGATGGAGTCCAGTCTAGGTTTGCCAGAGTTCGGCATGTTTTATTCCAGCAAAGGAAGCTGGGATCAGGAATCTGACCTCACAAACCATTCTTTATGTGTGGCATTTTCTTTTGCACTGCAGAAAACACGAGGTCTCCTTTTGGATTTTAACTATCGTGTTGTAGCAGAAAAACCTGTGATTATCAGAAAGTGATTAGATATTTCCCTTGTGTTTGTATGGTAAAAATGAATGGCTTGTCTGTTCGTTGTGCTTGTGGAAACTCTAGACTAGTTGAAATCACTTCTCAGTGACAGATTTTTTGTTTCTTCTGCCAGGACCATGACTTCTTCCAGCACGTGGAAATGCACCTGCGGTCTGAACATCCCCCTCTCTGTGGGCGGGACCACCTCAGCTTTCGTTCCTACTACTTCCCTGTGAAGGTAGGTTGGGGGAATCTGAGCTGGAAAGGGAGATCCTGAGTAAAGGAGCAGCACAGGCAGCAGAATGATGGGAATAGTACCAGGGAGGGTGCTCCCCTCGGGGCAGACCACAGCCAGAGCAAAGGCTTCACTGCTTCTGCCAATCTGAACTCTGAGTACCAAGAGTCAACTTAGATAGTGTTCCTGGATCTGCAAGCGGGGTTCAAGTATCGAGTGGAGAATAAAAAGCTTTCCCTGTCTGGGCGTGGTAGCACACATTTGTGGTCCTAGCCAATTGGGAGGCTAAGCCGCAGAGTTTTGAGAGTGCGGTGAGCCATGATTATCCCACTGCACTGCAATCTGGATGATAGGGTTGAGACCCTGTCTCAAAAACTAAAAAATAAAAACAGCTTTCTCTACAACTGCTGCTTTAGCATGTGCCATTTTCTTTGGGCATCTCACCATTTTTTTCCTTCTACTTTCTCCGTATCTTAGAATGTGATTGATGGAGACCTCTGTGAGCAGTTCAATTCCATGGAACCCAACAAACAAAAGAACGTCTCTGAAGAACTGGACCGAACCCCACCCGAGGTGTCCAAGAAACTCGAGGATATCCGGACCCGCTATGCCTTCTGAGCCCTCCTTTCCCTATGGGGCTTGCCAGAGACTGTGTATTTTGTTTCCCCCACCACCATCGCCGCCACCTGGCTTCTGCCATGTGGCAGGAGGGTGACTGATTAATTAAGACTGCATTTTGAAAGCCAACAGCTCTCTCCCCTCACCTCTTCTCCTGGAATGACTGGCTTCCCCTCAAATTGGCGCTGAGATTGGCTACACTTCTCCCCACCTGGTACATGATACATGACCCCAGGTTCCAGTGTGGAACCCAATTCCCCCATTCCCCAAAGCCATCCCTACATTGATATGTCTGACTCTCCTGTCTACTTTTGCACACACCCTTAATTTTTAACTGGTTTTCCTGTAAATACAGTTTTGTACAATGTTATCTCTGTGGGAGGAAGGAAGGAAGGCTGTGGTGGGACTGGATAGGATATAGTATCACTCCTGAGTTCTGCTGCTCTAGAATCTAACCCAGAAAGAAACAGAAACCTAGTTTTTAAGGTGACTGGTGTCCGTGTGTCTTGTTCTGGAGATGAGGATGTAGGTGGGAGGTTTGAGCCCAAGTTAGAGCAGGACTCTTAAGTTAGAGTAGACTCCTTCCTTCCAGATGCCTACTTGACTTGGGACACTCTGTGGCTCCTTACCCCCAGGTCTGTAGTGGTTTCTTTGTTTTTTCCTGGTTCTTTTTGCTGTGCTGATGAAACATGGGCTCAATGACCATGTGGATACTCACCCCTTTTCCCACTGGATTGAGGAAGGGTGGCTGATTCTTCCTCCTCTTCTACTCTGAGGATATTAGTATGGGGATTTTAGCATGAATTCCAGCTGGGGAGTCTTAACAGATGTCCGTTTTGCTGATACAGCACCTAAAGAGATCTTTGGCTCCATAGGACCATAGGAAGGGTCAGTACAGAAGAACCTGGATACTGCCCTGCCCCTGAGAACTGTGTATATGTGGGGCCTGTCTGCAGCACCCATCTCAGGTGGGTTCCACAGCGCCTTTAGGGTATAATGAGAGCCTGTCCCCTGGAAGAGGCCCAGTTCCAGAAATGTTCCAGCCGACCCCTGAGAATTCCCCGTTTAGTTGTGTGGGAAGCCCTCGTCTTCCAGGCTGTCCTTGTGCCTTGAACCTGGAGAAACGAGCTCACTGTTCTCAATACTTCACGAAGTAAAACGTTCTTTCATCTGCATGTGGTCAGCCACCTAAATTGAGCAACTGACCTGGTGAGCAGTGGGTTAGAATCAGGAATGGTGGTGAGGAGATACAATCTGAACCTCCCGGAGCCCAGTGCAGAGGGTTCCTCACGCTGTCTCATGGAACTAAGTATATTGAATTATGATTTGGTTTTAGATCAGTCAAGAGAGACCCAGGTTTTGCCAGGAATCGAATCCCTAAATAACATGTTTTTTTCTCACTTAGCTCATGAATTTGCATAGTAGACAGTAGTTCTGAATTAGATTTTGAAAACCTAATTTCAGGGCTCATTTTTTCCTGTGGCCCTAAATCCATTCTATCAAATTGTATGATACTGACATGCAGTCATCTGAGGAACTCGGTGTAGATGTTTGAGCAGCTCCTTGCGTGTTTTTTAACTCAAGTTTGATTGAAATACGTACACTACATACAGAAGTTAGGGGGTTCTGAAAGAAAGGAAAATCTGTGGAATCAGGAGTTGTCACCACCGAGCTTCCTCTGGAAGTCTGCCCATCAGCTTCCTTGTTCTCTGTAAGAGAAAGGGTTAGGACAAGGAATTGGGCTTGAATATGTGGAAAGGAATTTTCATAGCTGTTGCTACAGAACCTACAAAAGTTTATAATTTATTGATTGGATGTGGCTCAATGACAAGTCCCGTCTGTGTAATTGTTAAGGGGACCTGATTGACTCCTGTGGTTTGACTGAGCAACCAGGTAAATAGAGACCTCTCTCCAGCCTTGCAAAACCCACCAGAGGCTGCTGCAGAACTCGGACAGAGGGGTCTGCCCTTGGGTTTGCTTCCATCCTGTTCCATTGCTAAGCCCTTGTGACTTGGATCCTGGGACTGAAAAGTTTTTAGCTGCCTCAGCTTTCCCCTGACCTTACGGGCAGAGGTTCTGCAGATGTTTCCTTTGGAAGATCTCTTGCCAAGAATAGCATTCCTTTGGAGGAGGGGGGTTCTAGTTGGAATGTTGCTTTTCTTGGTTAGTGTAAATGTATTGTTGGTGAGACAGCTGCCAGCACTGGAAAAGGTTCGTCTCACTGGGAGAGCGCTGGTCCCCAGAATGTGTGCTGTTCCCACGCTGCTGCCTTTCTTGAACTTGTTAGAGGAAAGCCAGAAATGTTAAGGCATTCAGATGGGATCAACCTGGCTTTCAAAATTTTTGAATTCCTAAGTTCTGTTTTATTTTTTAATTTTTTTAAAAAAATTTTATTAGAGGCAGTCTCACTCCTTTGCCTATCCTGGAGTTCAGTGGAGTCATCATAGCTCACTGAGGCTTGAACTCCTGGGCTCAAGTGATCCACCTCAGCCTCCAGAGTAGGGGAGACTACAGATGTGTGCCACCATACTCAGTTAATTTTTAAACTTTTGTAGAGACAGGGTCTCCCTGTGTTGCCCAGGCTGGTCTCAAATTCTTGACCTCAAACAGTCCTCCTGCCTTGGCCTCCCAAAGCACTGGGATTATAGGTGTGAGCCATTGCGCCTGGTCCTAAATTCTTGTTTTTTGTTTATCAGGGATAGAATCTCTCTTGTCCAGGCTGGAGGGCTGTGGTGCGATCTCAGCCCACTGCAACCTCCGCCTCCTGAGCTCAAGCAATCCTCCTACCTCAGCTTCCCAAGTAGCTGGAACTACAGGCATGTGCCATGTCCAGCTAATTTTTGCATTTTTAGTAGAAGAGGTTTTACCGTGTTGAACAGGTTGGTCTCGAACTCCTGGCCTCAAGTGGTCCGCCTGGCTCAGCCTCCCAAAGTGCTGTGACTACAGGTGTGAGCCACCACACCCAGCCTCTAAATTCTGTTTTCTTTTTTCTTTTTTTTTTTTTTTTGAGACGCTCTGTCGCCCAGGCTGGAGTGCAGTGGCCGGATCTCAGCTCACTGCAAGCTCCACCTCCCGGGTTCATGCCATTCTCCTGCCTCAGCCTCCCCAGTAGCTGGGACTACAGGCACCCATCACCTCGCCCAGCTATTTTTTGTATTTTTTAGTAGAGACGGGGTTTCAGCGGGTTAGCCAGGATGGTCTCGATCTCCTGACCTTGTGATCTGCCCGTCTCGGCCTTCCAAAGTGCTGGGATTACAGGCTTGAGCCACCGCGCTACTTTTCTATTCAAAGTAGAAGTGACATGTGTTTGTTGAGTCATCCACTTGCTCATTTGCATATGGAATATTGTATGTGAATTTTTTGTTGCACCCTTAAAATTAATTTTCAAGGGCTATATGTAGAGCTCAGAAGAAACATCTCTGCTGCTGAAATCAAACTTGGTCCAGAAAACGTAGCAATGGAGGAGAGGAACAGATGGCTCTCGGGGACAAGGCAGAGACTCTGAAACACCTGCTTGGCCATGGTTGGTTGACATTTGAGTGACAGCCCAACACGCCCTGTGAAGTTCAGGTGAACTGAAATGGGCAGGTGTAGGCTACTAAACCAGCACAACCAAGAGCTGTTACTCCTTTTTTCTTTTTTGAGATGAAGTCTTAACTGTGTCGCCCAGGCTAGAGTACAGCAGCACAATCTTGGCTCACCGCAACCTCTGCCTTCCAGGTTCAAGAGATTCTCCTGCCTCAGCCTCCTGAGTAGCTGGGATTACAGGCATGCACTACCACACCTGGCTAATTTTTGTATTTTTAGTAGAGATGGGGTTTCACCTTGTTGGCCAGGCTGGTTCAAACTCCTGACCTCAGGTGATCCGTCCACCTTGGGCTCCCAAAGTGCTGGGTTTACAGGAGTGAGCCACTGCACTTGGCCAGGAGCTGTTTAAGCCATCAGGAGACATGCTGACCCACTAGAAGAGGCTGCTACGTTCATTTCTTCCAGAAATGTTTACTGGGCACCTACTATGAACCACCTCCTCCCAGCTCTTTTCTGCACCCAGAGATTGGAGGAGAGTTTATGACCTGGCAGTCTGTTGCTGTGAGGTTGGTGGTGAGGTGAGTCTGCCGGAGGACGTGCCACCAGTTTCAGAAGAGCCTATAGCCCGGGTCTGATTTCCTCAGCCACAGCCTTGGGACTTCAGGAAAAATCAGAAGGTCCCAAGTCTGAAAAATGAAGAGGTGGGGAGTGGGCCGCAGGGGTTTTAGGTTGGGAAATGGTAGGAAACCTGTAGTTGTGGCTCATAATCCCAGCAGGATGTTAGAACCCTCTTCATTTGTCAGAATAGATTCCTGGTGTCTGCTCCCAATTATACGGTGGCTCATGCCTGGTAATCCCAGCACTTTGGGCGGCCAGAGACAGGCAGATCACTTGAGCCCAGAAGTTTAAGACCAGCCCAGGAAACAGACCCCATCTCTACAAAAAATTTAAAAACCCGAGCATGAAGCCCTGTTTCAAAACAAAGAGTCTGCTGGTGATGTCTGGGCATGTGTCTGCTTCATAGTCCAGTGTTATGATCAGTAGCTGTGATGGACAATGAGTGAACATTGCTGCTTGTTCAAAATGAAGGAAAAAAAAGTTATCAAAACCAGGTTTGGGCCGGGCGCGGTGGCTCAAGTCTGTAATCCCAGCACTTTGGGAGGCCGAGACGGGCGAATCACGAGGTCAGGAGATCGAGACCATCCTGGCCAACACCGTGAAACCCCGTCTCTACTGAGAAATACAAAAAAAAAAACTAGCCGGGCGAGGTGGCGGCGCCTGTAGTCCCAGCTACTCGGGAGGCTGAGGCAGGAGAATGGCGTGAACCCGGGAGGCAGAGCTTGCAGTGAGCCGAGATCCGGTCACTGCACTCCAGCCTGGGCGACAGCGCGAGACTCCGTCTCAAAAACAAAAAACAAAAAACCAGGTCTGGAAGTTTCAGATTTGGAGGAGCTGGGCCAGCCCATCTGGAATGGCTGAGGGGCCCTGTTAGCCCCACCCTACCCCACCCCACCCCCAAATCCAGCATCTCTGGCAGTGCCCAGAGGCAAGCCCCCCTCAGTTTCCCACGTCCCATTCTGCCTTCCAGAGCCTGGTCCTCAAGTTTTAAATTCCCAGGTCCACTCAACAGAACTCTCTCCCTTGTCTGACTGCAGTCTCAGAATGAAAGGAGAGGTGCTTTTGTTGGGTTGTTTGGTAGCGTTTAGGCTTAGAAGTCACTAATTTGGAGCCGTGAGTATATAAGCTAATGACACGTGTATAAGCTAATGACACGTGATGGTCAAGGGACGTACTACCATTTCCTATGGGTTATTAGGGCCTCCAGCTGTTGCGAGGACACGCTGGGGTATCTCGGCTTCAGGGAGTCGATGCTGTAACTGGAGAAAGGCAATGCTGCCTCGTAAAGCAATCAGAAACGAGATTCCACTTGCCAAATGCCAAGAGGCAGCGAAGTTCATGAAG